CTAAAATATATAAAATTTCTCCCCCTGAGTGTGTGCGTGCAAGGTTACTTAGTATCATGATCTACTTTATTACATATGACTCAAGAAAAGGTAAAAATACTTAAAGTATACTTACAGACTGATTCAATCATAATCGATCCAATCTTGAGCTGGCTTGATTTACAATTGATATTATGGACCTAAAATGTTAGTAGGCAGGGAAACCAAAATAGATATGTAATAGTAACCATAGTAAGAAAACATGAATGTCATAAATATTTTCTATCATCAAAATTATATTCCTTTAATCCATATTTGTAACACAAGCTCTTCTAATCGGAGTTGTATATTATATTATGTCATGCTTTGATTTTGGATTGCAATCCTTATTGAATGAATCTATAATTCTTGAGGGAGTATGACCTCAGACCAATACACTAATGCTAATGGAGTGGATTGGGTCAGGGTCATGTAAGTGGTCCGATAGGCCCACAAGGCTTCCAATAACCTCTCTTCTTATAGATATTTATTATCATTTAGGGTCTTTTTGATGATTAGTACTATGGTTTTATTGAGGTCCTCAACCAACCCATTAGCCCATGGGTAATAAATTGTTGAGTATCTCCAATCAATACCATGGTGTTTTGCTAAGTTATTAATTTTTATAGACTTGAATGCAGACCCAATATTGGATACAATCCTATGGGGTACGTCGAATTGATATACGATATGATCAAAAAAGAATTTCATTACATGTTTCGATGTTACATTACGTTGGGGAACTTCTTCTGCCCATTTTAAAAAGTAATCAGTCACAACTAGGATGATGAGAAGGCCCATCATAGAAGGAGGGTCAATTTGCTCGATAATGTCCATTCACCAACTCTTGAAGGGTCATAAAGCTATCGTGGGATGCAACACGTTAGGCGGTTGATGTAAAACCACACCTTTAATTGTGCACTGGATAATATTTTATAATATTCATGCATAGGTCAATCATCATAAGCCAATAGTACCCAAGTCTGTTGATTTTTTATTTCATCTTAGGACTTGATTGATGAGCACCGCATAGTCCAGCATGGAGCTCATTATGATCTTCAGGGCCTCTCACTTATCTAGATAATGTAGCCACATCTAATTAAACAATCGACGGTAGAGAGTATTATTCATGAGTGAATATGAGAGGGCACATTTCTTAATTTGAATGGAAAGTGACCTATCATAAGGGAGCTTGCCTTGTTGAAGGTAATTGCTCAGTGGTTGTCTCCAATCTCTTTCTTCATCATTCGTTGAAGAGGCAGAAAGGACTTGGGAAGAATTTTTATTGATGTGCTCCAAATCTATAGAAGACAAGACCTAATGACCCTGAATCTCCATAGGAATAAAGCCTTCTTCTAGACAAATAAATTCCTTTACAAGCTTGCTAACGCATCCACTGCGGAATTGCTTTCATGAGGAATTCTGTACATAATTACAATAAGAATTTGTTCGAGCAAGTAACTAATGTACTGATGGTACTTGAGAAGTTTTGGATGCAAACTATTATATGTTCCTGTAATCTGCTTGATAACCAATTAAGAATCACCAAAGATTTGAATCTCTTTTATCTCCATCAGTATTATAAGTTATTAATTAATTATTAGAGCTTCATATATAACCTCATTATTTGAGGAAATGTTCTGATAAGTGGTAGGAAGAGTGCATCATTGGCTTGTTTGGTGTAATGATAATCAAACTAATTTTGGCTTTTTTGAGAATAGTAGATTTCTGTGCATTGCCCCGCTGGGAGGATGCTGCACCATAAAAATGCAATTCTAAGACATGATAACAAGATTCCTTAAAACTTATGATTTGTTTGTCATGTGCCACAAGAAAGTTAACAATGACCTGTCCTTTCAAAGTATACAGGGGAATGAAATTAATTTTGAATTGAAGCAATCTCATAGACCACCACGCTAGACATCCTGACAATATAAGCCAGTTCATAAGATATTACATTGGGTTGACTCTTGAAATCAAACTTACCTGATGAGAAATTATATAATGCATTATATTTTGGGCTACAAAACCTAAAGCGAGACAATGCTTCTCTATTGAACGATACTTAATTTTTCTAGGAAGGAGTCTCTGACTCAGATAGTATAGGGCATTCTCTTTTCGTTCATCATTGACTTGAGCCAGTAGGGCACTAAGTGGCTCGTACAGAGCCATGGTGTAATGAATAAGATGTTTCCCTGGAACTGGGGCTACCAACACTAGCGAATTGGTAAGGTATTGCTTGATGTTTTTGAAAGTAGTTTGATCTCATCCCAGAACTGGGGCTACCAAGTGGCTTCATTTTTTGCCAGGTTGACATATTCCAGAGAGGTTAGAAATAAACTTTCATATAATTGTCAGTCTACCTTGAAGGGACCGTAATTTAGTAAGGCTCTCGGGAGGAGATATATTTATGAAGGCTTAAGTTTTAGTGGCGATTCCATGGTGCCTCACTACGAAACCCAAAAATTTTCTTGAAGCATTGCTGAAAGCACACTTCAAGGGTTCATTTTTGTGGTTGTAGCAGTGCAACCACCTGAAAATGATTCTTAAGTTATATATGTAAGCCTCTTTGACTTTTCTCTTGATGAGTAAATCATCGATGAAACATTAAATTGGATTATGAATTAAGTCGTCAAAGATTTGAGTCATGTCCCACTGGTAGGTTGCACTAGTATTATTAAGACTGAATGGTATCAACTCATTATAGAAGATTCCTATAGGGGTTCTAAATGCAGTGTCTCTCATCTTTTGAGGACATCTTGATTTGATGATAACGTACGTATTACAAATTAATCTATATTATTGAAATAGTTTCTTTATTCTTACTTGTATCCTATAACTTATATCCTGCTTATTATTTTGTTTAAAAATTTTTGAAAAAGTAAAAAATTTCTCTATTGTTATTTATTTTTTTCTCTTTATTATTGCATTTGTAGTAGATCTAGTAAGGAGCATTTGTTGTTAAATTTAGAGATTATAAGGACCCTTATAAATATTTAAAAATCCAAAAAAAAAAAAAATTCTTTATGTATGACTGAACTAGTTCAGGATCATAACCATCCTAGATCTATTAGGGACTATATTAATCCTGTGGTAGATGAAATTCACCAGAGTATCAATAAACCTACGATCCAGGCCAATAATTTGACCTGAAGATGTCATAATTTAGATGGTTCAAAATTTCTAGTTAGGGGAAACTTTTATTTAGGATCTCAACTTGCACTTAGCTACCAAAAAATGCACTGTTTAAATCATTAATTATGCCAGGTCATCCAACGTCACAACAGAGCCCACATTACAACACCGAGGTGCTAGTTCATTTAATGCTGCTATAGCACGATCTTGTCGAGGGCCGCAACACTTGAATATGTTCTTGTGCTTACTATAAATAATTTTTAAGTTCTAATATTTAAAGAGTTCTCTTAGTTAAGCAAAATTCTATAATTTTAAGTGTATTTCTTTAGTACCCTTATAGTAAAGTCTAAGGGAGTTGATCTACAAAGTATAGTGACAAGAGGTTTATTTCCAATAGAATTTGTTATTATGGATTCTAAATGCATTGATTCATGCCATTGGTTCCTAAGTCATTATGTAAAGTAATTCCATAAGTTCAAATTGTCAAATTGTTTAGGTGTGGGGGGCTTTTGCTTTGGCTATTTGGTGGTTGAGGTTGTGTGGTGCTCTGCTTGGTTGTGTTGTGGCTGTTGGGTGTTTCTCTGTTTGGGTTTTCTACTGTTAGGGGTCTAAGTCTTTGGGTGTTGGGTGTTGGGTGTTGGGTGCTAGGTGTTGGGGGTGGTAGTCTGGACTGTTGGTATTAAAGGGTTTTCATTTTTAATTATGGGATTTATTTTAGTAATACTTAATTATTGGCTTGATTTATTGATGTTGTTTTTAGCCTGTGCAGGTTTTTGACTTTTTTTGCAGGTGTAAAGAATGAAGTTGGGAAGAAAGGTAATGAGTCCTTTTGCAGGTTAAGAGAATGAAGTTGGGAAGAAAGGTAATGAGTCCTTTTGCAGGTCAAGAGAATGAAGTTTGGAATTGATAGTGCATGAATTTTTGTAGAAGGCTTGCTGTAGCTTGTGCTGCTATTTATTGTTTGCTATTTTGTTATAATTGTATCTTAACTTTTGGCTCATTAGGTTTTTTTGCTTTTGATTGTACCTCTTTGAGCTTTTTGTAAGCTAATGATTCCTTTTAAGGACTTTTATAACAATTTTTTAAAATTAACGTGGAAGCCCCTACTATTGGTTTTACCCAAAAAAAAAAAAAAATGTCATGGTTAACTAGTGAGTGGTTTTGAGAACATAATACATTGGGTTCTCATAGACATTACCTTATACATTTATTTGAAAATTTTTAAGAAAGACATTACCTTACACTCATCGCCCATCCTCTTCTTCTTCTTTTTTTTTTTTTAAAGGATTTTTAAAATATTCATTAGGAAGCGTTATATTACCTCACTATACCGAGAATTGAAGGAAGCCACAAAGTCTAGTCATGTGAAACATGACATGGTATTTGCACTTACTACAATTATAGAGTTGGGAGCATCTAAATGTAATGTGGCCAATACTCCATGTTTCATATCAAAGTATGATGAACAAAATTTTATTTTTAATCATGCAAAAAATGATTATCTTCAGTTAAAATTTCTTTTTAAGCAAAATCTTATAATAAGATTAAAAAAAAAAAACTTCCAAATGCATGTTCTAATACCACTATACTATTATAAATTTGCAAGGAGGCAACCCATCAAATGAATAAATAATAAATATATACCATTTTGGTTCAAATAAAGATTAGGACAATGGCCCATTTGTTTGCTTATATAAATTAAAATAAATTATAAACTCACCAAAAGACATAAATATGGTAATCTTACTTTTAGATAAAATAATTGAAAAGAAAATGGAAATAAATTTGAATTAGCTTTGTGATAGAAGTGCTTCCACCAAACAATGAACTTTCAATTCACAATTAGATGACCTCAAATCAAATAGATTATATTAATTGGAAAATTATAATATTTCACAAAAACATGATTTATAATTACTTTTGGATAATCCTATTTGCATCCACTGAGATGAATCCTAACATCATTAATTTTCTAATTCATTGTTCCACACAAATTTTTGCATTCATCAGAACACATCCCTCAAAACAACGAACTGTATTTGCATTTGGATTAAACAAATGGAAAGCCATTAATCACTAGCAAAGATCATCTTGGCATAGCATCTGAGTAACACAAAAGCTCATAATTTTGCCTTGAAGTAGCCTTTCAAAGTAAGGTAGAAATATGGATATGCCCCAAAATAGTATCACATACCAAAAATGAAGCAATTGGAGTAGCAAGGGAGGTAAAGAGCTTGATCCTCCATCACCATTGGCTGCCTAAACGGGTTCACCTGAATCTTCAAGCATAATAAAATTATAATATTAATTACAAGAACATGGTATAAAATTAATTTTATCTAGGCAACAAAGAGATAATTTTGATTTTAAATTTTTCAGAATTTCGATTTTAAATTAAAAATAATAAATTATGGACATGGCATGGCTGAAAAGGTTTTGTAGCAGAAAATATTTCTACTAGTTAATAGTCAAAGAGTTTGTTTCAGTAACATTTATAATAGAACGTAATTTTTTGATAAAGGATAAGAACAATTCGGTTTTATACATTCTCAAATAACATTTAAAAAAAAAAAATCAAGTCCTATTTTTATTATAATAAATGTCCGGCAAATAGTCTTTTTTTTTTGGGACATTTAGGCCATTTAAGGCAAACTCACACACACAACGCATACACATAGACTCGAACCCTGAACCTCTTAATTGGAAGCCAAAGCTCTCAACATTAGGCCAAGGAGAGTTTGTGTCCGGCAAATAGTCTTAATATAGAATGCATGTGAATGATAATGTTACTTTATTTCAGTATAGATAGCATAATATCTGAATTAAACAAAGTATTTGAAAGATAACAGAGGCACTTTAATAATTTTTCACATCTCAAAAATACTAAACAAAGCCAAGGATTGACAGAACGTAACAGAACTCACCGGAATGGATAGGGGGCGACCAGTTACAGTGCAAATGCATCGGGCAGCAAGAAAAGCAGCCTCTTCGCAGTAGTCCGTGAATATTGCTGGTATGTTCATCTCGCTTATTAGCTCCTGAAAACATATTAAGAGCTGTCTTAGAAATGAGATGGGCGATGTAGAATCTGCAGATGTGTCAGTCTCCCCATTTCTCATCTATGTAAGCATAATAAATTCACACCCTTACAGCATAGAAATAATCAACCAAGGGTTTATTTAGTGGCATGTTTGGTCGTGATTTAATCAAATCTTGTCCTGTAAAAATAAAATTCCAACATTTAAGAGGCTTAAAAAGTTTAAATCTCATATGGATTACTAATTATATCTAACTAATGCAAGACCAACTGAATTATAACAGTTTCTAAAATATATTTTATATTTAAAAGTCACTAAATGGACAAGCTAGTTACCAAACTCTCTATCTTGATTTTTTTGGTCCTAGTGTTAGGAAATTTTTAACTAGTATATCCCAGATACAACACTTACGGTGACTATTTATAGGGGTGTAAAAATGGGTTTTTGGGTCAGGTTCAGGTCCAACCCAAAATTGATCTGCTATTCACACGCTCGAAAAGCTAACCCGACGCTTTCCTCTTCACGTACTTCAAGCCTTAGATGTTCAGTTCCTATATCGGAAGTCACGACAACTCAATGACCTTCTTCGCTTACTTTAGTCAACGACAATGGGAGCTCGCTTGATGTGACGGTAGTAATATTTCTCCCATTTCGAGAGCATCTTCGGCCAAATCCCATAAATACACCCCATCTGGGTCAAAACCAGATTAATTCCGAGTTGGCGGATTGACCCGAAACCAACCCGTTTATTAAATAGGTCAAATATCTGGTACCAAACCGGACCAATTTATTAAACATGTCAACCCGAATATGGATCCGATCCGATCAGATTAGTGGGTCATATCAATTTTTGACACCCTTAACTGTTTATGATCAAAGGATTAACTCAAGACTAAATAGGATGATTAATTAGATTATCTATAATCTTGATTTGGTGATTGAATGCATGATTATCACAAAGAGATCACAAAGATTAAAATCGTTAAAAATTTGATGGCCTAATCTATTGATGAAGACTTAACAATGGTGGCCATTAATAGATTCCACCATTGAGATTGAATATGAAGTCACAAAGAGTCCCCAAGTAAAGATAAATTGTCGATCGAATGCATGATTATCAAGAACAAAGACAAAATCTGAAACATTGGATAACGTGAATGGACTTGTTGGCTAGCCAAAGAGAATTATGTGGTCTGCTAATCTAGATAGGATCAAATTTGATTCTTTGTTAGATAGGATTAATATGGATTTGCTATTTGATAAGTTTGTTTTTAAACTCAACATAAGGTTGATTATATCATGAAGTTATTTTAGGTAAAATAAGCTTAAATTCGAAATTATTCAGGCTATATTTTCCCTATAAATAGGCCATTCCTGCAATAAAATTCAATTCAACTTGTCCCAATTCCATCACCCTTCTCTTCTTCCTTTCCCTTGCCGTAGGCCAACCTAACTACCACCGGCTTCCATTGCTTCTTATGCCACCTAAAGAGCTGCCAGAAGACCTGTTGCCACCACCAGCTGCAGCCAGTACTGCAGACTTCCGCCACTACCTGAAACTGTACTAGGATAGCCATGATCTGCAATAAAGAAAACAAAAAAATATGCTGCTATCTAGAACAAAATAAAACCAAATTTTTTTGTTTTCCACGGGAAGGGAACCCAAAATCAAAGAAGTAATTTGTAGTCCACAACAAAGAAGTAGAAATCTAAGAAGAGAAGTTATCTAAAGCAAGGGAGGAACTAGCTTTAATTTTCAAGGGGGCAAACTTATAAGTAAAAGTATAGAGTTTTTTTTTTTTCATAATGTGATTGGAGTTTGAACCCAAAATAGTTGGTGGTGTACCAAATGTACAAGAAAAGATAAAAAATAAGAAGATTTGTTATTAAAACTAGTTTAGATGTAATCGTTAAATTAACTAATTAGCCAAACTTGAATACTTCAATAAATACTCGATTGATAAATAAGTTTGAGTAGCATGATGTTTAATTCATTTATGATCATGCACAATATCATTTAAAGCTCGTGAACAAGCTCGCTAAGAAGCTTGATTAAAGTTCAATAACATGCTTATTTAAAACTCAATTACAATTTTATTTAAAATTTGATTTCGTATCAGTCTATTCTTTTCTATAATAGATTGCTTTTGTTTATGAATACAAAGTGCTAGTTTATGCTTGGTAAAATTCTTGTTTATTTAAAAGTTCATTCAATTGAAGTCTTATTTTTAAGCTCAATAGGTTCTATATTAAAAGGTTCAATAAAGTTTGTTTAGTTACGTATCAAGTTCTATATTGTTGCTCATTAAAAGGCTCGATAAGATTCATTCAGTTACCTGACGAGCCGAGCTCAAACAATCATAATTTTAAACCAACCAAGCATGCACAATATTATAAATGCACAAATCAAGTTCGAACTCAAACTTGAATAAGGTTTTGAGAAATGAGCACAAGCTCAAGCAAGCAACTACTTGGCTCGGCTCAATACATCTGCATCCCTATTAGTCATCCTAATTTGGCATGGTGGAAGTCCACCAAAAAGGAATTGGTCATTAAGTGATAACATGAGCACATTTTAAGAGGTTGATTCACTATGAATTCTATCCCATAGGTTATATGGAAGATCAATAAAAGAAATGGTGTAGTCTAAAGCAATGCCAAGGAAAACTTGTGCAAAGTACAAAAGGAAGTTCAAATGTCAAGTACAAACATTTGGAGTAAACTTTGGAGATGCAAATCTATAAATAAAGTAAAACTTTGGGTCTCACAAATTGTAAACGAAATATGCTAGTTCCTAATATTATCTCTTAGCCATGTTAGTATGAAGCCGATAACCATAAAACAAAACAAACAAGGCAAAAGGGACAAGATCCAAGAACTATCAATAGAAGGCTCTTCTTTCTCTAAAAACAAGAAGAGTGTGCTCTCAGGGATAGCCATTTCTTCTAAAAGCAATGCCTTTACAAAAGTTCTATGAGCATTATTAAATAGTTGTCTACACCAAAGCAAGACAATGATCAGCAAAATCATTGACACCAACAATAAAAAGAATCTCATTTATAACAATTTAGTTCAAACATTAATATCCCATCCAAACAATTATCATTTGAGTTGGGTCCAACGTTTAAAATTGCGTATTCGGGTATTGAGGCGTTTTTCATTCGTGAGGCGAGGCGTAAGCCTCAAAATCAAAAGATTGCGTAAACATAAAATGGTAAATTTTTTATATACTAATGAGTGAATAATATAAAACATAAAAAAGCATATATAAGATATAAAGTGAAATCAAAATATCCCAATAATAAGACAACATGAAATATAGTTCAACTCAAAATTCTATCTTTCCCAAATCTCAGTATTCTTTTCATTAAAATATAATTTCAATTTCCAAAAATAAATAGCAATGACATATCACATAAGAACTCAAAAGTCATCAGCACTGTCATCACTAAGGGGTTCTCATTTGAATCATCATTATGATGAACTGCTCTCTCCCTTTCCTCCTCCCCTATAGAGTCCAATGTTGGGCATTTACTTCAAGATTTATGTAAGTTTTAATATATATAGCGTGAGGCGAGGCGGGCCTCGACCAAGTTGAGACGCAAGCCTCATAAAAAAAACTCGAGGCGTAAGCATCGAGGCATTTTTTACTAGAATTGCGCAAAGGCGGGCCTCAAGGCGAGCCTCATATTGCGCAATTTTAAACCATGGTTGGGTCCAATAAAGGTTGAAAGATAAAGATTAACTGCTGGCGCTTACTCAAATTTGTGATCATAAGAGACTACATGAAGGAACTGTTGTTCAAGGTAGTTTCACAGAATAGTGATAGTCATCTTTGGAGGCCTATACCTTCATGACAGGTAACGCAGGGTTCATTGCAAATTTACAAAAGACAAAGGACGCTTCTACTGAAAATGGATTATTGCTTTTCCCACGTTAGAGCACATGATAATACCAGGACAAGCAAGGAAGAATATCAACACTAGCCAAAATGTCTAAATGTTGCTTCTCCATGCAATTAAAGAAGAAAGAAAAGTCTCCGTCCTCTTTGTTGTGGTCAAGAATCGTGACATGCAGGTGCAAAAATGGATTGAAAATTTTGCATAACTTTTCAAGGACTAAAAGTCACCACCAATGCAACTCATTGAGCATTACATTAAATTCATCTCAATAGGATCACTAACAAATGTTCTAATGTATCAAATCTAAACTTGCAAAACCAGGACAAGCTACAATAAGCTAGGCACATGATGTGGATGGCATCCCAATAACTCAACTCAATGATATTGGAGTATATACTCCATACGTCGCTTGTTATAGTGATGTTCAACTCACCCAAACTTAACTACTATACGTGCCATGCGGGAGCTCGGCGTCCACATCATTACTTTGATCCTTTGGTTCGTTTGTTATCGGAGTTGGCTTACTCTTCGATACTGGGTGGTGCCATTGGGCTGGTTGATGTGGAAGTGCTTGAGACCGTATTGGCACATGAGTTGTGGCAAACTCTGCTTCAATTGATTGGTGGTTACTTCGTGTGGCCAACCATCAACATAATAGTCCTTTCATTTCTATGGTTCTCATATTAATATGAAGATCAACCTAAGTCACCATGATTGTTGCTTGAGATGTGAATCCCTTTATTTGTGGCATTGATTGTTAGAAATGCTTTACGGATAATCTCTGCATCCTTATTCAAGGTGTGGAGAGTGCTTCATAGAATGAGACCCACACACCCCTTGCCAAGGGTGTCATCTCATGACAATCTTTTGGCTTAGACGGTCAACTTTGGGTCCCATTATATTGTTGCAAATGTGGCTCATTCGAGAATATTTCCCTTGGTGCCATGTGCACATGAGCATTTTCTTTCCCTGGGCGAGTACATCCGGCGGTCTTGGACCCTTTTTCCTCCCAAGCTCGAAGAGGAGCTGCACCTTTAATGGAAGTGACCGAAAACCAGTCAATCCCAGGCGATTTGGACAGGAAAACCGCCCTGTTTG